GATTTTCATGAAACTTGTAGAAACTTTGTTCCTCTTGGGTTTTTGTTTTTCTGCCAAACTGGGAGAAAATTGGCCAGTGAGTAAAAGCAAGAAGTTGTTTGGGGGGTACGGAGAGAAAAGCACACTGCAGGCAGAGAGTGAGCGTTCACTACAGCATCAGAAGTGAAGCAAATATTAATCTGGCATGTTCCTGTTGCTCTCAGAAGTGCACAGAGAGTTGGGATATTCTTCTGCTCATTGAAGCAGAGCTGTGCCCCCACACAGTTTTCAGTGTGAGGCTGCAGGTATGTGTAGTGGGACTCTGGGCTGGAGATGAATGGATCAGCTTTAGAAAAGGCTTAGAAAATGGCTGAAAATCTAAAATCAAAAGCATGATGGCTGCTTCTCCACAAAGAGAGAGAGTCACAGCACAGAGGAGAAACCCTCTGACAGGAGAGTTTTGGAAGAGGTTTACTTTTTCATCCCAGTCATTCAGTGCCAACATTTGCAGCTCTTTTTCTCCTGAGAGACTGATACATGTTTTATAGCCTATCTCCATAGCTGAATAGCTGAGACTTCAAACAAACAAACCTGCCTTTCTCTATCTGACAGAGCCCTGACATGGGAAGTGTCACAGAGGAGGAGAACTCCAAAAGCCATTCACATGGCATTCTTTCTGCCTCTCCACACCTCTACTTCATTATCTCTGTGACTAAGCAAGTCATCACAATATGAGGTCTGCTGGCTCAGGCAAGTTTGTTGGATTTACAGAGAAGCTCAGGCTCAGATTCAGAGGAACAAGATGGATTTTGTTAGCTTGTGGTGCTCTGACCAGGTTTTGTATAGACAAGTTTCTTTGCCAGGGTGTATCCCTTGCACCTTGCTCTGCCAGACTGGGGGAGGTTGCAGTGATGGTTTAAACACATCATAGCCTGTCACAGGAGGGCAATGGAATCAAGCAGATGGTTTATTCCCCTCTACTGTTTAAAACAGAATATCATTATGGAAGAACTTGCAGTATCCCAATAAAGCACTAAATTATAAACCTTACTTTTCCAAATGGAATATGCAGAATTTGGTGAGGGGCAAAAGTCTCATGCAGCCTAGACCCTTAAGGTCATCACGAGAAATGGGGCCAAATCCATATTATTACAGAAATGTGGGACAAAACACATGGACTGAGTTTATACAGGATTGTTATATATGACCAGAGTCCATTCCACATCACAGAACCAATTAGGGTGGAACAGACCTTTGAGATCATCGAGTCCAACCTGTGACCCAACACCACCTTGCCAGCTACACCTTGACACTGAGTGCCATGTCCAGTCTCTTTTAGAAGACCTCCAGGGGTGCTAGCTCCACCATCCCCCTAGGCAATCTGTTCCAATGTATAATTTCTGTGAAGAAATTCCTCCTGATGTCCAGCCTGAACTTCCCATGACACATCATGAGGCTGTGTCCTCTTGTCCTGTCACTTGGGAGAAGAGGCTCACCCCCAGTTCACTATACCCTCCTTTCAGGTAGTTGTAGAGAGTGATAAGGTCACCTCTGAGTCTCCTTTTGTCCAGACTGAATAACCCCAGCTCCCTCAGCCACTCTTCACAGGGCTTGTGCTCCACACCCTTCCCCAGCTCCCTTGCCCTTCTCTGGACTCACTCCAGCACCTCAATGAGTCCCTTGAGTGAGAGGCCCAGAACTGGACACAGCACTCGAGGTGTGGCCTCACCAGTGCTGAGTGCAGGGGAGCAATCACTGTAGCATTCCTAGTCCTGTACTGAAAGAGTTTCTGTGCTACAAGCAGTGTATTGAGGAGCATTTTCTGAAAGCATTGTTAAAAACACTTTCACGTATACACCTGTGTGTGGTTAGAAGCAATATGCAAACATCAGTTGAGACTGAAGGCAGTAACAACATTCCAAGATGATGAGATTCCAGGGATGGCTTTAGTGGAGCAACCCAGAGAACCAGGTAGGCAGGATCAGTTTGCCATTAAAGGCCTAAACAAAGTTAAGGCAGGCTATTTGGATGTGACTCATGGAAACCATGTTTTATATCACTGAGTCTTTTTTCATTTTGATATAACCACAGCTTTTCTTCCCCTCCACCACTTTAATAATGTCCTTGGAAGGGGATCATGTTGTGACCAGAGGAATGGGAGACAATATGGTATCCAGTCTGCTTGTAGTGTCAAACAACTGTAAGGTTGTATGGCTAGTTAATTTGGAATTAGAAGTAATCAGTAAAGGAGAACGGTTCAAGTTAAGATTAAAAGCTGACTCAAAACTTTTCTGTTCCACCTATGGGTCACATCTCTAAATGTTCAGGCTTGGGTAACTAAAATTAGCAGACATTTTTTTTTTTTTATATGCTTGTTTTCTAATTAGGCAATTTGGTGGTGGAGTTGAGTCCTATACTATATGATTTCATAATCTGAAATGCCTAATTGTAGATGCCTGCTTTTGAAAAAATAATCCATTACCTATGCAAGCTTTCAGCTTCTTCACCTCTAGAATAGAGATAGTATTTCCCAGTATGGCTTTTGGGACTTTGTTAGTTTGAATGGATTAGCACAAGACAAAAACTTTAGATTTTTTGGCCAGAAAAAGTGCCATGGAAATCCAGTATATTATTGTGATATCCTTTGAGATGTTTCTGTGAAGCCAGTGGTGACTGTCAGGATAATAAAGAAAGCCTCAGAGAAGCTAACGAAATAATGATCCTTCTTCCTTTCTAGCTATGCTTTGAAAGGGCAAATGCAATGAGTGAAAATGGTTTAATGAGAAAGAGTCATTAGGGCACCCAGCCTGCATCTTTAGAAGTGTGAAAGCATTTTGGGAGATCTTAAAATTACTCAGAGAACAAACGCAAAGTAGCTCTGTCAGAATATTAAACTGTTATTTGTATTCTCTTTTAATGCTGATTGAAAGCAGTGATCTCTTTCACTGCCTGGTGGCTGGTACATGTGTAGTCACAAAAGTGGCTTGTTCATAGCTGCAGTGTTGTTGGAAGGGTAAGATCAAGGAACTAGCTCTGATTGCCCTCTGTCTGTTATCCTCTGCTTAGAGCTTACTGTAACCTGAGGATTCCTGACCTGTTGAATTTGCATAGGAGGCCTCATGTACTGGAATTAATTGTCCTGGATTATTCAGTTTCATTAATAAAGCTGCTTCAGTTTCGAGATTGACTGCAGAGGGAAGGCTGCTATTATTTCTTTGTTTGTTTGATATTGATAACTAGTGAGACAAGAGCTACAGATACTTTGGGTGGGAAAATTCTATGAAAATACAGTACATTATTGTCATATTCTTTGGGGTACCTGTGTGAAGCCCAGTGGGTGATACTACTATGCATTAGTACACAGGAGTGGTAAGTGCAAATGGAGCTAGTACTAGCTCTATTTTTGTATTAAAGTGTTAACCAAAACACAAGGAAATTGTTTGAGACTTGAAGCACCTTGGCTGGTGACTGTTCAAAGGAGACAGACTGGCTCAAAATGTTTAAGGAAAGAAGGACTTTACAAAGTATTTAGGAATCGTCCTTTAAGGATGCACTGAAGGAAATGAGTTGCAGCCACATCAGTAACAAAGCAAGCTTTTGACTTCGTGATTCCTACTACTTGTAAGCCTGAAACCAGCTGGCTGGTTTTGGTCACTCTTGTGTCACCTTGGTGTCACTCTGGACTCTGCTAGCAGCAAGGAAAGCAGCAGAGCTGGGTGCAGGCTCTGGCATTGCTCAGTTTGTCCAGCCACTGTTCATTGTGATGCCAGAAGTGGCTTGGGCCATTTCTCTGCCAGACAGAAAAGGAGCAGAGGATTGGTCTCAAGCAGAACCATAAAGCTGCAAATTCTTGAGGCTTGTTGAACTCACAAAACCAAATTACTGGAGCTCAGTACTGGGAAAGGCACAGAATTGCTGTGTGTTCTCTTATCATCTATCCAGTAAAAAATGTGATTAGAGAGGAGGGCAGGGGCCATGTATTCTCATCCTAATAAAATTGTAGATATGTCCAAGTAGGCTTTTTATGAGGACCTTTCCTTGTCCATCTGCTGAGGGCTGTGTTTGCTCTGTCCCTGTGACAGAAGCTGAACTGGGTTGGGAGCCAGGCTCTCCCCACTGCTTGCATGGAGTTGGGGAGCTTTTCAGGCAGGGTCTGACACCCCTCCCTGCTAAAGTCAGCTGGTGCTGAGCACTCTTCCGGTGGGGGATCCTGTACCATGTAGCTGTTGGGTTGTTCTGCAGGAAAAATCTTGCTTGTTAGGAAAACAAAGTATGAAAACAGTGGAGAAACAAGCAGGGCAGTGAGGTTTCAAACATGCCCACAAATGAGGAGGAGGTCACTACAGAAAACCCTCTGTGACGAAGCAGCCCTTTTCCCCAGTCACGAATGGGTAATACCACCCCCAGATCATCTGCTCCTCTGGGTGGGATTTGCTAGTGTAGGGGCCTGAATCTGTCTCTGTAACTCAGAAAAATGAAATGCCTGGCAAAAAGTAGGATGGGGGTGACTGAGGACTCAAGATGCCAGTTTAGACACATTTTTATCTAGACATGAGTTCAGCTGTTACAATTCTGAGCCACATTTGGATCCCCATCTTCAAATCAAAAATCAACCTACCTAAATAAAACTGTTGTTGTTGGATTTAATTTGGATTCTAATGTTGGATTTGTCTGAAGAGAGAATTTGTGCTAAGGGTGCTGCTGCTATCAGAGTCCTCTTATGTGTAGATACCATTTGTAGTCCCACACTGGCACATGAGGGCAGAGCCTACCCCCAAAGTCAATGTGTATGCACCACAGCTCCCCAGATGTGTACAGTCATGAATGCAGAGACAGACACTGCCCCTAAGGACTCAAGTTTTCTTCTCTTTTGTGCTGGCCACCCTAAATGAAACATAAAACCTTGTGTTTTAAGCATAATAATGCTCAAATTGTAACTTGGATGATCTGTTTACACAGTTGTTCCCTTCCCCTGAGCTCTAATAACCACATAAACTCTTTTTGTCTCCTCTTTTCTCCAGGTCAACAGACTATGGCACTACCTATGAAAAGCTAAATGACAAAGTAGGCCTGAAGACTGTGCTGAGCTACCTGTATGTCAGTCCCACTAACAAGAGAAAGGTAAGGGAGAGCCATTGCACTGGTAGCTATAGAAACAAAATGCCAGCATTCTGAGAGGAGTTATGATCCTAAAGTGAAATCTGTTGGTAATTCACAAGAGCTTGAATTTGCTGTCTAAGTTGCACTGGTGTGATTCCATGGAATCCCATGGAACTGATCCTGCTTTACTTGTGATGGTGATGAAGGACTTAATTCCTTTTTAGTGGAGAAGCAAAAAGGTTGCCTTTTTTTTTTTTTGCTTCTGACTGTTACAACTTTAAAAAGCTCACTCAAATATTTCTGGGTTTTTTGCTTACACCAGCTTTGACTATTACACATCTCCCTGCCTTGTGTCTCATTATTAGAAATACTGAGTAAGAGGCATTTATTTCTGCATTTGACTCTTTTTCCCCACATTTGGAGGTAAAGATGTAAATGACATTTTCTTTGGTTGCATCATGTAAGGGGGCTGAAAGCAGAATATGCCTGTGAGAGTGGGTGGAAGACCTACAATTTGATTTGGTTGTGTAGGAGAGAAGATGAGGTCACAGCTTTCCAGCCCCTGCTCACTCTTCCCACGTGATGCAATTAGGGCTGCAGCTGGCTCACACAAGCACAGCCCAGGAACTGCTACTCAGTGCCTTTTTGCTTTAAAATTATTGCCTGTGTTGATTCAGGGGAGCTAGTGGGACAAAGATGCTTTCAGCTACCCACAGAAATCAGCGTGGGAGGGCTGCAGCACGAAGCTAATTACTGACAGTGAAGTTCTGCTTGGCCACTGTAGAGGCCCCGTGCAACATATTTGGCTTGATCACTTCCAAACCGGCCATATCCTGTCTCCATCAAAAGATTTCCAAACTAGTAACTTGCTACTTGTACTGTTCTTATTATGACAGTTGTGTTTTCCAACACTGGTCCGTTTACAGATGTTTTGGGACTGATGTTTATTTCAGTTTATGCCACCATAAGGCAGGATAGATCTGGTTACTAAGTACAGATTAAGATGTTTCGTAGTGAGTTTTCCTGCCCTTCACAAACATCCTATATCCAATATGGGGAGCACTGAAGAGTTAATTCTTCTTCATTCTGTTTCCAAAGCAACTCTGCCCACCCAAAAGCACAGGCAATATGCTCAGTTACAAATCCTACGTCACTGGTGTAAAGACTCCCTCACAAATCAGAGTACAAGGATATATTATTATCTTCTAGCAATTTCTCAGGCTACTGAGCTTTACAGATTAGCAGTATTTTTTTTTTAATTAAAACCACCTACATTTCATCATATAGTGGCATATAGGCCTATCTTTACCTGCTCTTTACTTATTTGAGATTAGAAATTTAAAATAAATTTTTGGTTTTCTGTCTCAAGGAAAAGATTTTTGACCTATCTGTGCCCTTCTCATCCCTTCTGAAAAATCTTATGAAACGTAGAGACAAGCTGTAAGGAAAACTCATAGGAAACCAGCTTCAGTGCTGGCTGCTTGCTTCCGTTCTTTCTACCTCTGCTAAATATATGAGCACTGTTACTGTGCATGCTTAAACAGCTGGTCTGTCTGAACTGTGCTATGTTAACCATCAAAGCAACTCCAGACATTCATGTAGCACTTGAGAAATGTCTGAACAAAGTGTCACTGGACTAGAACATCTGAAATTTGTCAAATTCAGGTTTGGGTTTATTATCCACCCACTCCTCTTACAGATTCTTGAGGTTATGCCCTGCAAAAAATGCACTAGGGCTGTAGTCTTCTCCCAGTCTCCCTGGGTGAATATTATTCCTGTGGCGTGGGGAGTAAGCAGAATGGTTTTGCTGAGCTCCTGAGGACAGCTGCCAATACTGAATCAGAAAGCAGTAGGTGAATCAGTTGCATCCCCGCAGAAAAGTCCCAGGTCCCTTGTGGTTCACCTCCAGCAGCAGAAGTGCTGCCTTGTAGAACATGATGCAGAGATCTCTTGTGAGCTGCACAAGAGGTCTTTGCTTGAGGCAGTAAGTGGGAGGGAGGGACCAGCAGGAACACAGTGCACGGAGCCTGTGTCACACATGAGCCATGCAGACCTCTCCAGGCAAGGTGTTTTCTCCTGAGGCACTCACTCCCAGGCACTGGTTGGAGCCTGCCTGCCTGGTAGCTCCTGTGGATTTCTGATGGGTTTGCACATTGCTGCTGGCCCTGTCTGCTCATTAGTGCTTAGAGGATTAGTGCTTACTTGGAGGAGGAGAAAAGCTTTCTATACATTCATTCCTAATTGATTTACTAGTGAGAAGGATAATTACTGCTCAGCTACCCTGCAGAACTACAGTGGGAATTACCTGTCAGATTTCTTTGAAGACCCAAAATGCCTCTTTTCAGCTGTTAAATAGGAATTGTGTTCAGCCAAATGCCCGTTATATAAACATCATTTACCTGAATTGTGGCATAACCCTGGGCTCAATTATGAGGCACGGGGATTTAAAAGCTGGAATTTTGCTTTCTTCTTTTAAAAGAAAAGCCTTTTGTTTCTGATTTCTTTTTTTGAAAAACTTTGGGAATATTTTAATTTTTTTGGCAACCTGTGCTTTATTTCTTGGAGATCAGATTTAGTCTAGCTCTTCCTGGCTTTTACATGTTGCTGCTGAGTGATATCCACCCCACCCTCCTCATGCACAGGGTTAACCAAAGCACAGAGCAAAGACTGAGCTGAATTGTCTGTGGTGCAGATGTGGCTCCCAGAGCTCTGCCTGCTCCATGTGCTCCTCAACCTGCTGATGGCTGCTCTTGGAGCCAAGATGGGGCTTGTCCATTTCTTAGAAATCACAGAAGGTACTGGGGAAATGCACTTTGCCCTTGTGCAATTTGACATTTGCAGCTATATTAAACCAATGTAACAACATGCACATACCAAAGGAAGCTGCTGGGAATTCTTTTTCCCAGCTGTGATACCTCAGAGGTATCATTCCAAGTGGTCAGGGCCAGCTTGGTGATCTGAGACCACCTTGGGTGCCGACATAAGGGAGCTGCCACACATTCTGCAGCCCACTGTGAATCTGCAGGCTCTGGCTGCATGGTAGCCAAAACACTCTCTGCAGTGAGCCAGGATTGCTTCATCTTCCCGTGGAGCTGTCACACTGCTAGTTTCCTTCCCCTAAGAAGTAACAAGTTCAGGATTTCACAAGGCTTTGTGTGTGTATGGAAAGCCTCTGCTGCTGGGAGTTGAAACTGCCAGACTTGGATCTGCTCTCCTGCAGGTGGTTGGGCTGTTTCTCCTCTCACTTGCACAATAGGCACTTGTGTTTGGATCAGGAAAACCTGTATTGAACTCCCCTTACTGCTGTGAAACTCCAGGTGATCTTTGCCCTTAGCAGTCAGACAGCTCTGAAGTCCTGGGGACTGGCTTTTTGAGAGTTCCTGTTTTGGGCTCTGATGAGAAGCCAAGTGCCGGCAGTGTTGACCCTTCCAAACCCATGAAGATGCTCCAGTAGGCAGAGTGTATTCCTGGGCACATCTTCCCCTTCAGTGCATCTGCCCACCCAGTTGCTGGCCTGAGAGAAAGACCACATGTGAAACATCTGCTTTGTCCAGTTGCCAAGTAGGTTGCAACAAGCAGGTAACTTGTGGTAAACTTCAGAATGGAGAAATTTTCATGTTTGTTTAGCAGCACCCCTTCCTTACAGATGAATGGGATTTAACAGCAGATGTTTGAGTGCTCTGAAAAGCTGAAATTAGCAAAATGATTAGCTTTGGCTTTTCTACCCTGTAGCCTGTTGTCTGTCTTTGGGGATATGACAAAAAGCTGCTTACTCTCTGCTGGGCAGAGATCTCAGTTCCCTGCTGACCTTTAATTTAAAGCTGTGTTTTGGGTGTTAGTTACATTTTACTAGAGGCAGATTTTCACAGTGGTCTGGGAATTAAAAGTGTTTATTTCTTTCAAAACACTAAGGGAAAAATCTCTTCTATTTTAATAGGAACATTTCTCTTGACTTTTTAAATTTCCGGTTTCTTTTTATCCTAGTTCTTTTATTTCTTTATGGTTGCTGAAAAAATTCTGTTAGAAAATTGAATAATTTCCACAAAAAGTTAAGCTTGTGATTCTTTGCTTAACTGGCTGCACTTCAAAATGTCACTGCTTGGAGCTGTGATTCCATATTTTCTAGCATGAGTTGGTCTGCTGGGTAAGGTCCCCTATTGTGAGAACATTTGCTTTCTTCTTGGTTGTCAATAACAGGGTTGGTTTTACAATTGATGCCTCACAGAGGGATGTAAAGCCCTTCCAAAAGGGTGCAGAAAGAAGATGGGAATTGAAGTCCCATATATCTGAAGCGCTGCTCCTTTCAGGCACAGAGGTGCCACTTTGAATCTCAAGGAATTGTTGAACCATAGATTTTAGGTATTACTTTTTCCTGTGACATACTCTGTAAAGAGTGCTTATTCTTGGTGAAGATGTTGTTTAGTTGAAAACCCCGTTCTTACAAAGAAACTTTTATCTCTACCCTTGGGAATACGGTGGAGTGGAGACGATGGAGTTAAAAAGAATGCAAAAGAAAGAGAGGAAAAGGGAAGAGAATAACAACTCTGACAAATCAACCCCATTTTCCTGTATAGAGTGTTGCTCAGATAAGGTGTGGATAAACTGGAGGCCCTGATTGCATTTAAGATCTGAGGTGACAGTTCTGATGTCTTAGAAATACCTTCCTTCATGAATTTGCTTTGCAATTCGGTTGGCTGCAGTTGTTTTTAGCTTTTCCCCTGAGCTATTACAATCATTGTTGCAGGTGATAACTTGAAGAATTAAAAGATCTGTGGCCTTTTATGCTGACTGTCTGAACAGAAGCCTCACCCAGGTGCAGTGAATGAAATGAGGACTCTCCCCATTTTTCCCTTGTACCAGAATTGAAGTATTTTAGGTTTTATTTAAAGGTAGACCTTCCAGCTAAGCTATTTGAACAGTAGTTGCACACAGAATAAAGCAGAAATAAAGTTATGGTGCTCAGTTAAAGAGCTTTGGGAAAATGGTTTTTCAGGCTAGTTTCTTAGTTGTCACAGAATCAA